GAGAAGAACCCGTCCAGAAGACCTATACATTTTTTTCTTTTTGATTTTTTACCTGGATTACTGAGATGCATCAGGACACTCCACTGTCATGTTTTTGTTAAACAATGAAGACAAAATGAAMAAGTTGTATGTAAAAAAATAAAAGTCCACCCTCACACCCTTGCTGCTCTGATCATACAGGTGTGTGTTAACACAATGACAGGGTGGAAACACGTCACTTCCTTATAACATTTATTCACAAGGGGRAAACATTTAAGAYGGCTGCCCGTCATCTTAGGAGCAAAATCACCCCAAGGTCAGACTGTGCAGTGCTCAGAAAAATGACAAAGCATGAGGCAAATCACTGTCAGGTCTAACCAGGTCCTGATAAAAYGGGACAATGATCCCAAATACAGCAGCAAATCTATGTAATGATCCATCATCCCGGTGTGTGATGAGACCTGTGAAATGAACTGAAGCAACACTGTAAAGAGTGCGCTGAAAGTCCTCATCAACCATTTGAGAGATTATTAAAGTCCTACAGAAAACATTTGAAGAGAGGTGGTTGTACAAGCTGCTGGATCGTGGGGTGGACTTAGTTTTAAAGCTTTTCCATTTTGGCTTTATTTTTGTTTAATAAAAAATGACGTGTTAGAAGAGAGAGTTTTTTTGTACGTTTATTTTTATTATACAAACCCCTCATTTGAAAGTAGGTCAACTTTCTTCTTCTCATGAAACTTGTTTTTCTCTTTTAGGACCCTTGGACGTCCTCTTTAGAACCACAAGGTTCTGGCCCCTCAGCCCTAGAAGAGGCGGTGCCCCCCCCAGCTGAAGTCCTCTACCCAGACCGGTCGGAGAACTCAGACCTGCGAGCACAGCTGCAAGTCATGGTGTCAGACAAGAACCTAGATCCAGGTCCAGGTCCAGCTGGTGAGGAGCTCCTCTGCTCTCCTCCGGCCCCATTTCCTTCAGACAGTGCCGCTCCAGCGGACTGCTCCACGCAAGTGAAGAAGAGGAAAAGCTTCTTCTCTAAAGGCAAGAAGCTGTTTAAAAAGCTGGGATCCAGCAAGAAGGAATGAGAGTCAGGACTTCTGACTCTGGAGACTTTGTGTCACAGTTGAAGCACTTTTATTTCCCCTCTCAGATCTAAGAACAGATCAGTAACGATACACCTGCCTTAGAGCACTGCTGTTCAACAGAATCCACAGATCTGCTCACAGCTCCAGCACCACAGGAGCATGTAGATGTGCACGTGAACAAGCTTCTAATATATATACCTTAAACTCTTCGTATTTATCAACAACAACAAAAAAAGCAGCAATAACCCTCAAACATGTTCAGCTCAGTAAATATTAGCTTTAACGCTAACGTGCCACGTCATTTATTTAAAGCAAACAGACAGACGCTCTCTGACTATTTAAGAAATGCACTATTCTGAGTAAGTTTGCTTTCCTCATGTATTTATTGTCTTCAGRAGTTTCTGTGTAACTATATAATTTATTATTTGTATCGGACGTTTGCCCTGTTTATCACGTTGCTTAAAGTGGCGTCAGAACGATTCTTATAGAGCAGCTTTGAGGAGAACAACATGAACTGTATCGTAAGTTTAAATAGTTTCTGAAATTCACAAAGTGGGTGCTTTTTCTTCTTTTCCATTCTTTTTTCTTTTATTTCCACAACTCCGACACCGTTTCCCCACCTCTTCGAACATGCACAGTTTATTTTCTTCTTCTGTTTTGAACATTGTTGCATTTCAGTCGTACGTAAAGGGAGCGTGGCAATGCCAAGAATCAAAGGGAAAACGGTTCAGGCGTAAGACAGGCAGGTTAGAGGCGAGACCGAGGCAGTGCTGTACGTTTTATTTGATTTTATTTATATTTGTCTTTTGGAGGAGGTGGATGCTCAAATGTTGCCGAAATGTACAGCAGATATTTGTAAAATATTTGACGGCCTTTAAATGCACAAGAAGTCCTCTTTGAAGCAACAACTGACTGAGACCCATATTTAGTGTTTTAGCTCAGGTGGTCATATTTAGCCTTACACAAAGACCTCGTTTAGTCTTAATTTTGTTTGTTTACAGGAAGTTTATCGACTGCACTCGTAATGTTTTACCCATGTTCTGCCTTATTTTGTTTGTGTCACGTTTCAGTGTTGCAGTTGGACTCGTGTTGCAGACGGTCTCTGCAGCGGAGAGTGAGCTGCAGGCTGTAAATACTGTAATATTTTCATTCGGCGCAGAAAAACTTCTCTTTGTGTTCCTTCTCATTTATTGTTTGAAACCAGTGAAAGATTAAGCTTCATATATATAATATATACATTTGATATGTATTATTACCCTTGTTTTTTGGGGGGATCTGTACATATTTTTGTCAGTGTTTTCAGATTTTATTTAATTTTTTGTTGGTTTATTTCTCTGCATGACTGAGCAGTGTTGATGGAGGACTACAGATGTCGAGGACTTGAAGTTGTGATGAACTCTTTCAAAAAAAAAAAAGAAACTTTTTACCAGAATAAAGTCTGTATATTTTCACAGAAAACACTGGTTGTATCTGTGTAAGAGAGAAAAAAAGGGTCGGGCACACAAAACACGATATGTTTCATTTAGTTTTTATTATTGCATTTTAAAATACATCACATACACTATGTATTTTTTTTCTTGACAGGTGAAACAGGACGAGTGATAAGACAGAAAGAGCGAAGGAGCTCTGCTCAGCGCCACACTCTGCCCATGTGAACTGACTGCTGCAACACTTTGGGTAACGTGTGGCCTTCTGAGACAAAGCAGCTTCCTCTTTTCTTTTTTTCTCTTCTTCCTGCGCTGGCGTCATGGCGGGCCTCTGCTCTTCTCTGAAGCCAACAGTACACTCATCCATAAAGTAGGAAACACTACACTGTGGCGAGGAGTTTAGTAGTGCTTTCTACTTTATGGATGACTGCACTGTACATCCACGGTCAGTCTGTCGTCTTCTCACTTCTGCTGCACCTGCAGCTGCACACACACACACACACAACCCCCCCATCCTCAACAGTCTGAAACCTCACAGTTCAACCGCTTTAATGTGAAACCAGAAAACGTTACACTTCCTGATTCGACTCGAAACATTTGCACAACTACTTTTACAGACTCAAATGGGGCCTGGGGACATTTTAGGCTCGTCCAAAAGCAGGATTTAAAAAAAWAATCAGAAAAGGACAAAGTAAGAAAGAAAATCAGCCGGAAAAAAAACAAACCACACCCATTTTTCTCGTGCTTTTAAGACAAATATCAGAAACTAACGTCCAGAGGAAGCGCTATCTTGAGGAAGCCATTTTGTCAGGCGTGAGTAAGCTTTTCTGTCTGAGCATCTTGATAAAGTAAAAAAAAAAAAAGAGTTAAACTCAAAAGAAGCAGCAGATCACTGGTTCACCAGCTCAGCTAACAAATTTAAAAATCTAATATTATAAGCAAAATATGAAGATTTCAATTTTAAAACAGAGTCCACCAGACCCAAAGTAAAAGTAAATAAAACCTGAATAATTAAGACGTAACATTGTAAATTAGACAAAATACAAGAAAACACATTCTCGCCACAGATATTGAAATGATCAGTCGACGTCGACGCTCATCATACTTTACCTCAACCTGCTTTTTAAAATAAACGTTTTCTGCTCTCTAAGTCGACGCCTGTCCACCGGCCGTCTCAGACGTCTTCTGTCTGTCCAAGGAGTGGATGAAGAAGAAGAAGTTGTCTCCTTTTGAAGCCTCCACAGTCACGTGACGCAACCACAGGAAGAGGTTTAACAGTCACAGCCGCTCTCTTTCTGCTTTTCCGGCCTCTTTTTGCCTTCTGCAGACAACTCTTTTTTTTCTAAGCAAACGCTGACTGAGGACTGAATGATGACAAACTCTAAAGTGTCCCAATATAAAAAAAGAGATCCCATTAGTTTAAAACTCAAATTTACTTCAGTTTATTCGTGTCTACTACCGACTCAAGTCATGTCTTTTTCAGTCTCATCCTCTGCGCTGTGAAGTTTGGTAAGAAGTGCAAAATTTAGAGGAAACATTTCAACACAGACGACTTTTCTGTTGCGTTTTGACAGGTTGAAGGAACTCGCATTTTGTGTTTCGTACAGCCGGTGACACCAGCTGTACGAGCACAAGTTTTAGCATCAGGCGCTTAAACGCAACTTTAAACTTTGACATGAATGAGACGACATGAAGGTGCAGAGAGGGCTGGTGGAGCACTTCCTGTGAGAAGATGCTAACGCTGACAATCTCACACTCCACTAGAAGAACTTCTCTTAGATTGCAACACATTGCCCGGTTTTGTACATTTTTTTTACTTTTAATTTGTGACCCACAAGTTGTAAATTTGCTGTACATTAGTACTGTTTTTCTTATTTGTTTGTTTTTTTTCTGGCAGTATTTCGGTGGATTTAGTGGGGGAGGGGAGCGTCTGTTTGCATGAAGAGTTGAGACGCTCGTTGCTATAATTACTTTTATCTAGTGAAAGGCCCCAGGTTTCAATTCCTCCAGAAATGTAAATTTCCAACCGTAACCATGTGGTTTTTCATACAGCAGAACCCCGTTAGGGGAGTCTGATGATTCTCCCCCACCCCCCAAACCTGCCAACAGACATGCGTACACCTCATGAACTTAAGTTATTTAGTACTTCTCCTGCATCTATTTAACAAACATACAAATTATTAAGAGCCTTTATTAGAAGATAAATATCACAGTATGGAATCATTCCTGTAATGTTTGTCTAAAACAGCTTCTCTCTATTAAAACCARGACAACATCCTTTTTTTTTCTTTTGCTTCTTCCTCTGTCAGTTTATCTTATCTAGGTCATCTTGAGATGCCGAGTTTGAAGAACTGGGCCTCAGTTTCATTTAAACAGCCAGGATACAGAACAGGGTTCTGTGAGTAAAGAGTCCGAGCCCCTCCTATTATTCACATATTTTATTAGATTTATAATAACCGATGAAGAAAAACCTGTTCAGTGCTGGATAGTTTGGGGTTTGAGGTTTCTTATGAATATTTACGTTACACAAGAAGCTGCATTATTTTCAATTCTCCCGCAAAAGCTTTCAGTTATGCTCAACGGATTCTCAAAGCTGCTCTGTGTGGGGTGTCCCCAGCAAGACCACAATAATAAAGTAACAATAGATTTAAAAAAAAAMCCACAGGGTTAACAGTTTGACCTCCTGAGTGAAAGAGCTTTATTAAAGTTTAAGCACGTGATGCCACTGAGGTGTAAAACGGATGTTACACTTTGAAAAGGACAGGAAAGAGGAAGCTATATAACCTGCTGGTCATGTATGAAAAAATAAAATGACCTGCAGAGTAATGGTATAAACACACGATGTGTTTGAGAGGTTTTATATGCACTACTTGGACATGGTTCCATCCTACATCTGAGTTTCAGAACGGTTCTCGCACGCCTTGGTCTGTCTGCACGGTTATTTACTATTTAACTTCATGACCACATGTGATCGGATTTACAAATAAAACCAAACTTACCATGTGATCAACTGTAAAAACTGAACCAGAGAAAAAAATCTTAAGCCTAATTTTGTAAAACACATTTAGACTAAAGAGACTAGAATAAAAAAAACATTTAAACTAGAAGCACTCGGAGAGTGCAAACCTCCGCCAAGACCAATTTTCCATCCTGTAAGAGTTAATGCACAAAAGCAGAGATGGAAACACATTTGCTGAATAAGTTSTGACGTAGTGAACATTTAAGCAGGCAGTATGCACGGGATTTCTTCCAGATGGAGTCCAATGTGAAAAAAAAAAACAAAAGTCAAACTCGTCACCCAACGTTATTCATCGTCAAACTGGTGTGGGATTAAGCTCCTAAGTTTTCATCAGTCACATTTCACCATGTAAAACGTCTGTTTTATCTCCTTGTATGAGTTTGTAATGGTTTGACTCTCTTTATAAAGTGCTTCCTGGCTCCCCCCGTCTCCAAACTTTGAGGCCCGGCAGCTCTTTGTTTACAAGCCTAGTAGCCAGAAACTGTTTTGATTGGTTGTTTGGGAAATGTGGTGTGTTTGAGGAAATGGGAAAAATAGGTTTCATGGTGCAGTCACGCACTTCCTGGTCACAAAACGTTCTGTAAATGCGAATATTATGGCAAAAATTATTCATCATTAAATTTGGTTTTAACATTACTTTTATAAAGTTTGAAGTCCGTGCTGTCCAATCCAGCTCACTGTTTTTTACAGAAGCCCTGTGAAAGCATCACAGCTTTGCCGATCTCAGAGTGTTAAAAGAAAAAAAATTCTTGTATCCGCATCGTGATCCGGAACATCACCAAAATTTAAAGGTATGTTACTTGGCCCAGTACCCACATGTGATAAAAATGTCATGACAATCCGTCCACAAGTTTTTGAGTAATGTTGTCCACAGACTGAACGACAGACAGACAGACAGACAGACAGACAGACAGACAGACAGACAGACAGACAGACAGACAGACAGACAACATTACCTCCTCACCCTTGGTGGAGGTAATAATAACTTCAGCACAACAAGCTGTTTGGCAGGGAACATTTGGCAAACTTTTCTGTGCACAACTCACACACTCAGCTCTACTGCTCATCCCACAAATACATGTTCCTTATAAATGTGGCACCATTTAAAAGGAAATTAACAGGCTTTCCAACAATATAAGATTTGTTGCCGTGGAGCATTGTTACAACAAAGAAATAATCTACCAAATGCACAGTTCCTTACTTCTTGTGCTAAGTTTAGTTAAAGCTAGGTGTTAACCCAACTTGGACTTGGGAAAGCTCTCATCGCCCTGACAAGGAAAACYAGTTTCACTGGTTGTAGTCCTAACTGGGCACAACCTGCTCAACCACCACAAAACAGTGATGGGACTCCATGACAGTGCTCTGTGATGCCTGTGGCGTTGAATTAGAGACCTCTTTGCACTACTTAGACCACTGCCTGGCTCTGATCAAAGGACAAGAGTTCTTGTGGACCCCTTTATGGATCCTGAGAAGCTCAGATCACTGAGTGTTTCTAATCTTGTGTCCTTCATCCGAGGGACAAGAAGGTTTGAATGAAGACCAGTGTTTTTGGGGGAGAGCAAAGGACCCACTTAGGAGGCTCCACTCATATGGGTTCTTTATCCATCTACACTCACCATAAACCATAGCCCGACTGAAAGCTACCTAAGCTAAAGCTAGTTGCTTGTTCAAGTTAAAGCTAGCTGTTAGCTAAGCTAAAGATAAGGTAGTTTTTCTTTTATGGAAAATAAGAAACTCTGCTTTTACTGCTTTAAGAAAAGTTCATAAGCTGGTCTTTTATCAAAGGACAAGCTTCTGATCTTAGTTGTTTTCCTAAAAGCTAAATAGCCTGTTGAGGTTAGAGACGTGACGTTTGTGACCATTTTGGACGTTTGGAACTGCGTTGCAGACAATGAAGAGCAGCTATTAGTTTTATTCTTCCCTTCTGGTCATTTCTTCATGTTTTCCTCTTCAAATGTTGAGACATCTGCTCCTCCTCCACTTTTGTTACTGAGACGAAGGAGACGGGCAAA